TTTCTTGGTGTCCGAAAAGCATTTGCTGAATAAATCGTGCAAATATCATATCAACATAGCACGTTGAATAGACATTATTTTAGGATAGTTATTAACAACTGATACCAGCCAATATTGGAACCAAATATAGCAGTTGCTGTGATACCACATGGCCAACTGGTAACTCTTCAGTTCTTCTTTGGAGCATTCAGTTATTCTCTTCATCATCCAATTCACGCCAGTCACAGGACAATGGGATGCCTGATCAGTCTTGAAACTGAGTCAGTCTATAAGTTTCCCCAATATGCTTTAATCAATAAATAAGCTTCAATTTAAAAACTATAAGATCTATGTGTCATGGAATAAGTTATGCCTGCCCATTAAATTTTCCCATTGAAGTCCAACTCCAAGAACCTCACAATATCACTGTATTTGAATTTGGGGCCTTTGAAGATGTGATTATATTAAAAGGAAGCCAGGAAGGTTGGCCCTGATCCAATCTGGCAGTGTCCTTTGTATCCAAAGAGGGACACCAGGAGCACACGTGCAAAGGAGAAAAGATCATGTGAGGATACGACAACAGGCAGCCATCTGCAAGCCAAGGAGACAGGCCTCAGAAGACAACAGACCTGCCAACATCTTGGCCTTGGATTTCTGCCCCCACAACTGTGAGAAACAAATTTCCATCTGTAAAGCAGTAAATCTTTGGTAGTTTCTTATGGCAGCCTCAGAAAATTAGTACAATGTTAAAAGTTGGGAATATTACATTTGTATGCTGGAGTTGAACATCTAATGTTGTATTCTGGAGTTGAACATCTATTACAGTCTTTTTCTATTTTCACCTAGGTTTTTAACTCTAGTAATTAATGTGGTGATGATTAAGAAAGATCCAATCATTTAACAGCTCAAAAAGTTCAGATACATGTAGTAACTATCCCATGATGATAAACTGACAAAAGGGGAAAGACTTCATGCGAACCTATATGCATTGACATTGGAATCACATGATTTGAGTCTGAGCCCAGGTATAAAATTAAATTTCAGGGTGTGGCCTTGAGTCAGGTCACTTTTTCTTCTGTAAATCTCAGTTTATCTGTAAAATGTAAAAGAAGCTTACATCCATAAAAAATTAAATGGGATATTACACAAAAGAACAGAAATGTAATAGATATTCAAAAATAGTCACTCCCTGTATTGTAGCTTGTGTTAGTCTCTTGCTCTGTTTTCTGTTGTTATAACAAAACATGTGAGGCTGTATAAAGCAAAGAAGTTCATTGAGCTCATCATTCTGGAATGATGAGGAACTGCATCTGATAAAGGCCTTCCTGCTGGTAGGAACCCTACAAGACTACTGAGATGTCATAGGCGTTATATTGTGAAACAGAACAAACAAGGTCTCACTTCCTTCTAAAACCACTAAGGAAATCATGAGGTTTCCACCTTCATGACGTCTTCTAACCCTAATTATCTTCTGATGGCCCTACCTTCAAATACCATTAAGATATGACTTTGGGGATTATGTTTCCAAAGAATGAATTTCAATAAATATCCAAACCATAGCAGATAGCAAACCCAAGACAAAAACACAGATCCTAACATGAGCAAAAAATATCTTCAGCAGTTTTTTTTCTCTTGGTTTTATTAAAGAACAGACCTTTTTATATTGATTTGCTTATGATCATTTAAAAGTTAAATAAACTTACAGCTCTCAAGTACATAATCTTCAATGTAATTAGAACACCTTGTTCTAATTACATGGATGTGTGTGTGTGCTTACAGGGAATTGTAATGGCATGGAATTTGAATGAGAAATCAAGTTAAGATGCAGCCATCTTAGGTCAAAACTGAGCTAACAATGTCCATTGTGTGTAAGAATATATATTTGGTCAAAGAATTCTGATTTGAAGATAAGTCTATCAACTTATAATTATTAAAACAATAATTAATCAGACATGGCTAAAAATAACACTCAGCCACAATTATATAAAAATAAAAGGTTAATATTTTCAATAATATTCTATTCAGGAGCCAGCCACCGCTTCAATTAAAGCCTTCTCAATCAATTTTCTAGATAAGTGACCTTGACCAAATTCTCCAGACTCCCCAAACCTGTTTTCCTCGTGTATTAAATAACCACAATAATAATGACCTCATGGTTTGCTTGTAAATAATAAATACAATTATACAAGTACAGTGTTTAATAAAAATAATATTTATATAACATTTGACAAGGGGCATTCATTGGTCTAAACTCTTGAATCATATTTATTTTTTCTTAGTATGGTTTCCACAACAACTTTATGAAATTGCTACTATTATTGTCTTAATTTAACTTACAAGGAAACTAAGGCTCAGAGGTATTAAGTAATTTGCCCATGGTTACATAGCAAGCAGGGGTTAGATCTGGATTCAGATCCAGTCAGTCCAATTCCCAAAACTGTGCTTGTGACTCTTATGAGATGCCTGCCGAAGGATAAAAGTTCAAAGAAATACTTGAATGCATTCAGAGACTCATCATTCCTTTAATTGTACATCATTTTACTTGTTTTCATTTTAGGAGAACTTTGTTCAAAAAACTAATATAATCTTTAAATTGGAACATTTTCAGAATATTATACAAGTGATAGTTTCTAGGGTTTAACTTTGTTTTTGCTATGAATTACATTTTTAATAACAAATCACTATCATGATGGCAAATTATCCCTGTTATAAATGAAAGTAATACTCTATACATAGAAGCTGAGAGAATCATATCAAATATCACAGAGGAGGGGGAAATACATTTATCTGGTAAAGAATGCACTTTTGGTTTTTAGGATACTATGTACAATGCCTTACAGATATTTTTGCTTGGTTTGGGTTTTTTTTATTTTTGCTTGGGGCAGATCTGGGAATTTAAGATCCTTAAGCATCCCAGGCAATCACTCTATCACTGAGGTCTAGCCCCAGATCTTCTACAGATATGTTTTAAGAAAAATGTACTTTTAAAATAAAACATAACAAAAACTTGAAACATTTTTCTCCAAAAATCATGTCAATGTACGTTGCTAATCTTAGTGTTGCATAACAATATAATCATAGTATATGAGAAATCTTACTATCTCATTAAAATTTGCCACCGCTATTGAACATGACTCAAATGTATTTACCTCATCCAAAATGCACTGAGTGCACACATCCATCTATGCTGGCAGATATTCAAAGAAGCAAGCACGTGCCTCAGTTAAGGCACACAGATGATGTAAACTGATAATAACAGTAAGACTGGCATTTCTGACAGACAGATTTGAGAGTCAGTAGGAGAAAGGGTGAGGAACACAGGAGAGGAAGGATGAGCAGGTAATAAATGGTAAAGGCAGGAGCAGTGAGATATTTGCAACTGAGTACTTCCTAGACATACATGAGAAAGGTATGGGGTGCAGAACACCTCATATGCGATGTCCTGGTACTTCAGGAATTTTAACAAGAAGGATGGCTAAGCATGATCAGATCTATGTTTAAAACTTCTCTTGGGATGAGTATAGAAATTGAACTAAATCTAAAACGTTGGGGGGGGGGCAAAGAAATAATTCAGGAGTCTAACTGTGGTTGCTGTCATAAGAAAAAGTAGAGTAAGGTGGCTGGTAATAGAGATTGAAAAGGAACGGATAAAGGAGTATTAACTTTGCCCAGCTCCTAGCCCTTCCTAGGAGCACAAGAACCAGTGTCTATTTTCTCTCTGACACATGTGATGTTACTCCACCCCAAGCACTGTAATAGTGCTTTACATACATTATTTAATTGCTACTCTACTAATAAAGAGTCTGAAGCTCAAAGAACAGAAGCATCTTGTCTGAGGTTATGCAGCTGATTAGCAGCGGAGAGGGGTAGAAACATTTGCTCTTCAAATCTTGATAGTTCGTCCACTCACCTCCAAAACCCCTTCCTGTTTTGTCAGTTTTCACTCTCCTGGACACTTGCCCTTTTAATCTGAATTCTGCCCTTTCTTAATAGATATAACTTTTTGCTATCTTGTCTTCCTCACAACTATCTGGTCTGGTTCTTTTCATGTAACATTTGTCCTGGAATCTATAGCAGTATCTGTCTTGTTAGCAGTTATTTTCTCTTTAAATTTCAATAATTTCGGTTTCTGTGACTTCTAAATTTACCCATATTAATTGTTGTACTGGAAAACTCTATTTTGCCAATGTGTTCATGAAAGTATTTTGGACTATTAATCATTTCATTTTTCTCAAAATTATTTCTCCCTGAAGTTCTAGGAAACACCTTTTCTACCAAGCTAGTTATCCTAGAAGTTCCTTTTATATCTCTTTTGCCAGGTCCTTCAGACAGAAGGCTGTTCCATTTCTCCCATGTTCCCTGCATGCCAGCTCCTTCAGTTCTCATTTCTTTTCATTTATTCACACATTCATTCATTCATTCTCTTTCTTTTGTGGCGCTCTGTCCACCTATTCTTCACATTTCATTCCTAATTAACACAATAAAATATAAATACCCTCCTGTCTTAATTTCCTCACATTTTTTCAAGTCTTAATTTCAAATCACCTTTGACGACAAGTGTGGCTTATCAGCAATACATAGTTTATGTTACAGTCTTCCCAACACCTTTTTCCTCTGAACCAGTCCCAGGCCCTACGTTTCCTATTGTGAGCAAAGAAAGTTTACAAAGGATCCATTCCACTGTTAGTCTCTTGCAGAACTTCTATTTCCCCCAAGAGCTCAGATTTCTTCGTCAAAATAAGTGCCTATCAAACTGACAAAATTGAAGCCTGCCAATATTAACATGGGAAACAGACTGCTTAGTGGCCTTGCTGGTTTGATTAATGCATATCACCCAGCTGGAAGACTCTGGATGGGAAGAAGCCGTGTCCCACACTGAGCTCTGACTCTCCAAGCCAGTGTGATTCAGTGAGTAAACATTCCATTGAATCAACAACTGGCTCAGCTTCCAAGGACTTTGGAAGTCCTGTGCAAATAGATGTTGAAAATTCTTGCAGGGCATGCTCAGAATGACACAGAAATCGACCCTGATCTGAGCCATCACGAGTGCCACAAGATTCTCCAAGTTCCAGCTTTGAAATGATAGCATGCAGAGATCTCAGACCAGAGAGCAAGTTCGTTTCCCATTTTCATTATCTGTACAACATATCAAAAACACAAGTAAGTCAAACAAACAAACAAACAAAAAACTGTGCTCCTGGTTACTTTTGCTTTATTTCTTTTTTTTTTTTTTTTTTACTTTTTTTGGGGGGGTACGGTGGGGGGGTTTGAGACAAGATCTCACAATGCAGTTTAAGCTGACCTTGAATTTGCTTATTAGCCCAACCTGGTCTCCAACTCATCAAGATCCTCCTGCCTCTGCCTCCCAAATGTTGGGATTACAGGCATACACCACCAAGCCTGGCAGCCCTCCTCCCCCTTTTTCCGAGACCATGAAGTGGGAGTTCCTACAGAAACTTTTTGTTTGCTTGCTTTCGGGTCCAGGAGGTGTGGTATCCAATCTCCTAAACCTCTCCGTTGTGCTGTCCTATCTGGCTGGATTTTAGGGCATTAAAGAAAACTTTTTTTTTTTCTTTTGAAGAAATAATTGTGCTACTTTTCATCCGTCAGTTCACCGCCAGTCACGCACCCAGAGGCCGAGGAGGAAGCTCTCCCTGGAGATCAGCTGCCTGGGGCAAGCCTAGAAGGCAAAGATCGCCAAGCCTGGCCCCTGGAGTCTGGGGCAGGTGACACAGCCGGGGCTCCTGCGCTGGCCTGACAGTGTCATCCCCGCCCACTGGCAGCGGAGCGCCCGGCAGGGCTGCACGCGAGCCAGCGCAGGGGGCCATAAAAGCCGCCGCGGCGCAGGACGCGGAGCTCGCCCACCGCCTGCGCGCCAGCTGCGACCTCGCCATGCATGTGAACGGCAAAGTGGCGCTCGTGACCGGCGCCGCGCAGGGCATAGGCAGAGCCTTCGCGGAGGCGCTGCTGCACAAGGGCGCCAAGGTAAGCGCGGAGCCCAGGGGCCCCGGGAGGTGGAGGGCCTGCACCCTGGCCACCTCGGCTCTCCCAAAAGCTGCTGCGCCCAGGCTCAGGGCGGACCTGCAAACCACTGCGAGCAACCTGGATTCGGCAGAAGTGCAGGTCTAGGCGGGGAGCGTCTTGTTTATGTTTTGCCCTGCTGTCGCCCAAGCTGCTCAGGACCTTGATTCCTCTGGTGCTGTCGTAGGTAGCCCTGGTGGACTGGAATCTTGAAGCAGGTGTAAAGTGTAAAGCTGCCCTGGATGAGGAGTTTGAACCTCAGAAGACTCTGTTCATCCAGTGTGATGTGGCTGACCAGGAGCAACTGAGAGGTAAGGAGGGGGATGATCCATCAACCTGAAACACACCCTGAGCAAGCAGCAACCCGAAGGCAGCCCCTGGCAAGAGAGCCGGGCAAGGCGCAGGGCCAGCTTGGCTACCTCCTGGAGAACAGCTATGCTTAAATTCCAGAAGATGCCTCGACTGTTAGGTTTCCTATTGACAACCAGTGGCCATAAAAACTAAGGAGAGACAAGACTGCCCGAGAAATCTTTTTATTGTAGTCATTTGGCAGCGCAGAATGTAATCAAAATTCCTTTGTGTATTCAAAGACACCGCTGCTGCAGTAGTTGTTGGATGATTGTAATTGCTGAGGGACCACGGAAGTGAAAAATCTGCTAAGGCACTGTGGCAAACAACTCTCAGAAAGCCAGAGGGCAGAGCTCAGTGGCAATCTAATGTGGGAGCCTATCTGTCTTTTGAACATATTAGAATACAAGTTCAAAGGTCATGGTCACAAAGATCCTGGAGGCTTTTATCCAATGTTTTCTCTGGCTTTTCTCCTTTGAAAGGGCACTTTGTTAGAATGGCAGAAGAAAAGTCTCTATCAGCCTTTCCTCAATGCTTTCCTGTTTCTGTGAACTCACTTAAAATAGATCATCTACTTGTGAAATATAAGGGACAGCATTGATGTGGACAAAAAAGTTCTGCCCATGCAGAGAGCCCAATAGACTCGCATGAAAAATTATTTCCCTGAGGAAAAATAGAAAAATAAAATATTCGCAGTTCACAAAGTTTTATTCAAAGAGATTGAGTAATTTGTTAGGCACATTTTTAGCCCAAGTGTTAGATAAACTCCTTAAGTTTCCTTGTATCAGTCCTCACTGTGAGACATTGAAGTGTGAATTTCTTTTTAAAACTGGTATATTCTGTAAGAGTGAAAATGGATGGTTATGTTAGAAGGGATTGTGCTGCATAGAAAGTGTCAGAGAGGAAGTTATGTGATTAAAATCCACAAATGCTGTAAAGACCTTTAACACTGATGACAAGCATCAGTACAACAGTTCTATAAACACAGTGCTAGCAGGACTGCCAAAGGACGACTCTGTTGATTGCACACAATACTTCAGGAAGAGAACAATGTCAAATCCCGTGCTGGGACAGGGAACAGTATGCAAAGTCTGAAAACAGTTTTGGCTCAGTTTATGTAGTTCACTCGGGACATTTAGCCTCAGTTGCTTTGCAATATTTGAAATTAATGCCTTGGCTGTAAACAGATTACTCAAGAGTAAGTGATTGTGGAGGAAACTGGGACACATAATGAATGATCTGGGGAAGGCGTGTTTGTCATGAGAAATCCACATGTGTACACAGGGGCAGTTATCTGCCTCCAAGGGAAGGATGACACCAATTCTTTAGGACTTAATATTGACTGCAGCTTTTAAAAGTATTTGTGGATACATTGAATTCACAAAACACCAGAGCTTGAATAGATTTCTGGAGATGATCCAGACATGACTCACTTTACAAATTAACAAATTACAGCACAGAGGCTTTCAGTAAGTTATAGACAATGCTACAAGAGCTAAACTAGGAGTCATTTCAGCTCAGATGGCAGGGGAAACGTTAGCTCGTGCATTGACAAAGACAGCGCATAGACAGGCAAAGAAATATAGTGAAGACCAGAATGAAGAAAGAAAATTCTAAAAAAATTAGAGAGACGTATTTAACAATCTAATTCCTAATAAATTGGGACCATCTCTGTAGAGTTATGAAGAATGGAACCACTTAGGGTAGAAGAGGAGAAAAAAAGAAAAGAAAAACTAGTGTTCCATGTATGACCTTTTCTGGAACCAATTTGAGATGTTCAGAAACAGTTTTAAAATTCCATGAAAAAGTAAACAGTTTTTATTTTATTGTTGTTGTTTTCCATTCCAGTACAGTGAATGTGAAAGGGTACAGATTACAAAGCCTTGACAACGTTTGCAGCAGCTAACTTGCACAGCAGATGATCCATTTGAGAGCTAGTAAATCAGTGCCTTTCCAAATGTGTGTGCTGGTTGTTAATAATTCTCCAGTGTGTCTCAGTCAAAATAAGTTTATGTTGATCTGCGTGCTGGCTTGGAGATCTGAGAACATATTTCCAGCCTTTAGAATCACTATTGCAATTGTTATTTACACTCTCAAGTAGTAGAACTAGACTGAATAACAAAAGAGCCTCAGAATGAGTTTAAGTCAATAGAACTCCGTAACAGACTGCTTTTGAGAAATAATGAGTTTGGCATTACTGAGGTGGCAAAAACCCTCTTTGGACTGGATAAAGAGGATTTTCAAGAGCTGAATATCTGGTCAGACAATGGAATTGGTGACACTGAGTTCTCAGGAGCCAGTTTTCTTTTACCCTGACTGAACATAATTTTAATAAAACCTGATATATAGTAGTAAATAGTGATCAAGATAAAAATAAAATAGCAAACATCAGTTTCATGTGTGTAATAAAATCCATTGAATGAAACTTTTACAACTAAATATAAAATCTTCCTGAAATACTCACAATGGATTTGAATACATAAGAAAATTTGTGTTAACATGATATTTTGTAAGCATATGTGGCTTATTAATGAAAAGGGTCCATCACAGTCTGTGCTACAGTCGCATAACTTCTTACCTTTCTGGGACTGAAGATGCTGACTGTTCAAGGTGACTTCAAAGAGTTCTTCGCTGCAAGCAGCTCAAACTGAGCAAGGATGCTCAGTTCTCTAAAATTTACTGCAATAAATTGTAGTAGCTTAGGGACCTTTAATGGGCATACAGCTCATCTAAGGGCGTGGTAAAGTCAGATCCTGACCCAATAGATATGTGGTGTCCACAAAATTTTGTATTTTTAACAATTTCCTGAGTAATGCTTATTGAGGCTGCTGGTCCACAAATCACACGGTTGAGAATCAAGGAATTAAGTTGGAAGTTATGTGTGTGCTTTTCAATGTAAAGGAAGATAAATAATAATTGACTACATGTCATAACATTAGATTTAAATGCTTATATGGATAATAAAATGTATCTATAATTTTTGTTTAAATTAGATACTTTTAGAAAAGTTGTAGACTACTTTGGAAGATTGGACATCTTGGTCAATAATGCTGGAGTGAATAATGAGAAAAACTGGGAAAAAACCCTGCAAATAAATTTGGTAAGCTATTTTATCCATATTTATTGCTTAGAATCATTTGATAACATGATCTTTATGAAGGAAAATAAAAATTATAATTTCATACAAACAAAACTATAACCTACAATATAGAAAACAGAACTTAGAGAAGTTGGGACGGGGAAGCATTTCTTTAACAATTAGGAACACATTGGAGACTTAGAAATATTAAAATAAGCCTGACTTCAGACATTAGGAAAAGTAAGAAAAAACAGTTTGTTGTTTAACTAAGGGACTGGCATCCTGCTACCCACAGATCTTCAAGCTAGTGATGACTCTACCTCTTTTGTGGCTGCAAAATAATAACATATATGAATATATTGAATTCATATCTCAATGTCACTGAAGTTTTAGAGGAACACAGGCACAGTTATTGGTCTTGTATCATCAGTATCTACTTTTATGCTATAAGAATGGCAGAGTCGAAAACTATAACAGAAATAGTAATTGGCGGGCAATAATTAACATATTAACTATCTGACCCTTTACAGAATGAGCTTGCCAAGTCTTAACATATCTTATTTACTTAAAAGTACGCACCTTAATAAATGCTAGAATATAGCAGAAATAAGGTTAACATATAACTTCTATTTTGTTTATTTTTGTGGTATGTGTATGGTTACATATATTGTGGGTGTTGGCATGTGTACCAAGCACCTCTGATCCCTTTTCTTCTTCCCCACGGCTACCACTTGTCCCTGCTTCTTCCATCTGTTGGTGCCCTTCCAATTTGCAAAAGCCTGTTTCTGTTTTTTTTTTCTTTCTTTATTTTTTCATTTTCTTTCCTTCCCTGCTCTTTCCCTTCTTCTACCTCATGTTCACATTTCCATTTTAAAAAGACCTCCCTACTTCCTATAATCTATCTTTAATTAGCTTCTTACATTTGGATTTCTCATATAAGAGAAACCATGTGATATGTAAACTTGGGTGTCTGCTTTATTTCACTAATATTGTGGTCTAAGTGTGTCCATTTTCCTATGAGTTTCTCAAGTTTATCCTTTTTATGGCAGAGTAGTACTCCATCATACATAAATATCACATTAATCCATCTATTTGTTGACGGATATATAAGCTACTATGAATTGTGCTGTTGTAAATATAGATGTGCATGTTTCACTGCAGTATGATGAGTCGATAGAAATCGGATAGCTGGGTCAAATAAAATTTCTAATTTTAGTGTTTTATGAAATCTCTGTACTAATTTTCACAGGGATTGTATTAGTATATATTTTCACTAACAATGAAGAAAGGTTCCTTTTTCTCTGAAGCCTCACATAATTTGCTCTTGCCTATTTTTTTCATGATCTCCATTCTTTCTGGAGCAAGACGAAACCACAGTGTTGTCTGAATTTGCATTTCTCTAGTGACCAGAAATGCTGAACATTTTTTCATGTATTTAGTGTACTAAATTTGCACTTCTGAAAGAAGTCCATTCGTTTCAGTTACTCATTTTTTATTAGCTCTTTTATTTTGGAAGGTCTGTTTTTTTAGTTCTTTATAATTCTAGATTTTAGTCCTTGGCCCAAAGAATAGTTGACAATTTTTTCCCATTCTGTACATAGTTCCTTTACTCTGATGGTGTTTTCCTTTGCTATGAAGGTTTTTAATTTGATAAGATCCCATTTTCTGATTCTCAGTACTATTTCTCATGCTGTTGGGGTTCTGCTAGATATGTCTTCAAGAGTTTTACCTATTTTATCTTCTATAAGATAAAGTGTTTCTGTTTCAATATTTATATCTTTGACCCATTTTGAGTTTAGCTTAGTACATGGGTCTAGACTCAAACTTCTGAATATGGAAGTCCAATTTCCTAGATTATTTATTAAAAAGTATATTTTAGTTACTTTATCCAAGTAGCTGAATGTACTTGAGGTTGTTTCTGTTCTTCCATTAATCCACGTCTTTATTTTTGTGCAAGGGCCATGCTGTTTTTATTGCTATAGTTTTGTGGTATGACTTTAAAACTAGGACTATGATCCCTCCTGCTTTGCTTTAACTACTCAGAATTGCTTTTGCTATTCTGAATCTGTTCTGGTTCTATATGAATTCTGTGATTGTTTTCTTTACATTTGTAGGAAATGCTGTTGTATTTTGATTGGGATGGCATTAAATCTATAGATGAGTTTTTGAAATACAGTCATTTTGACTATCCAGGAACACTGTATTTTTCCCATTTTCTGATATTCTCCTCAAAATCCTTTTTCAGAGTGATGTAACTTTCATTATGGAAGCCTTTTACTTCTTTGAAGAGGTCGATGCCTAAGTATTTTACCTCTCTTAATTACTCTTATTATGAGTGGTATTATACTGCTGATTTTTTCCTCAGTGACTTGATTATTGTTGAACAGGAACATATTGATTTTTGTGTGTTGATCTTGTGTCCTGACATATTGCTTGATTTTATTAATAATTCTAGAGGTCATTTAGTGAAATTTATTGGTCGTACACAGAGGGTCATATCATTTTCAAATAATGATACTTTTACTTTTTCCTAAACATACCCCTTTTGTTTCTTTCTTTTGCCCAATGTCCCTGGTGTTTGGTGGATTACATTGGAGCAGTCATAATGGACACCCTAGTTTAGTTTGTGTTTTTAGACGAAAAGCTTAAGGTTTCTCCCCATTTAATATAATGGAAGTAAGTTAGTCACAAGTTACTTCTATCATATTGAGATAGAATCCTTCTTTATGTGTATTCTACATTTTTATCATGAATGATGATGGAATTTGTCAAAGGCTTTTTTGCATCTGTTGTGGTGACAGTACAATTGTTGTCGTTGCTTCTGTTTATGTGATGTGTTATATATATTGATTGCAATTTGTTAGCCACCCTTGGATCCCTAAAATGAAGCTTAGTTGCTCATGACTTTTTGATGATTTGTTGTACTCTATTCACCAGCATCTTTGTTGAGGATTTTTACATCAATATTTATTAGAAAGATTGACCTGTGATTGACAGTTCTATTGAACCCTCATCTGGTTTTAGAATCAAGGTAGTGCCAGAATTCCAGGAATGGTTTTGGGAGCATTTTCCTTTTGACTTCATGAAAGCATTTGCAAAGCGGTTGCAGTAGGTCTTCCCGTGCTTATTAGACAATTCAGCAGCTAGTCATTCAGACAGGTGCTTGCTGGGCTTGCTTTGTTGCCAGAATTTTTATTACTGCTTCATTATCATTCCCTGTTACTGAGTTATTCAGGATTTTTAAGTCTTCACGGTTCAGTTTTGGTAATCCCTACGTATTTAGGAATTTATGCAATTCTTCCGAGTTCTCTAATTTATTGACATAAAGGTTTATGAAGTAGTTGTTAATAATCTAGATTTCAGCAGTGTCCGTTGTGATTTCACCATCTTCATTTCTAATTGCATTAACATAGGTCTTTTCTTTCCTTTTTTTTGTAACATTGGCTAAAGTTTTATTTATTTGCTTTATTCTTTCAAAGAACCAGCTCTTTGGTTTATTGATTCTTTGTCTTGCATTTTAGTGTTCATTCCACCAATTTACATTCTGATATTTATAATTTCTTTTATTGTACAAGCTCTGAAATTAGATTGTTTTTGATTTTCTGTGACTTTTAGGTACATCTTTAAGTTATTTATTTGGGCTCACTCTTTTTCTGATATGGGCTTTCACAAGTATTAACTTCCCTCTTAGGACTACTTTGTGTCCCATCACTCTGGTATGTTGTACTGATTGGTGTTATTATTTAATTCTAGTAACTGTCTTATTTTCTCTTTACTTTCTTTTGTAAGCCTTTGTTAGCAGGATTATGTTGTTCAATTTTCATAGATTTTCATAATTTCTGTGGTTTCTCCTGTCATTGAGCTTTAGTTTCATTGTACTATTATCCTGATACTATGACTAATGAAGACAATTTTTGTTTACTTAACATTTATTTAAGCAAGTTTTGTAGGACAGTATGTAGCTTATTTTGAAGAATGTTCCATGGGTGCCAAAAAGAATGTATATTCTGTTGTTGTTGGCTATATATACCTATTAAATTAATTTGTCTGAAGGTGTGGTTCAACTATGATATTTCTTTGTTGATGTTTTACTTAGTTGATCCTTTTATTTGTGATAGTGGTAACTGAGTTCCCCCACGAAAACTGCATTGATGTTTGACTTTTCATGTCTTATGAAGTTGGATGTACCGCTCTTTTGTGATTTATGTTTATAATTTTTATCTCTTCCTGCTGAATGGTTCCCTTAACCATATGTAGTGTTCCTTTTTGCCTCTTTGGATCAGTCTTGGTTTAAAATTGACTTTGCTTGAAAATAAGATGCTAATTGAAGTGTATGAATTGCTTTTTGGGTTAAATGTGTTTCTTTTGCACTTTGTTTCTTGATCCATTTTGTACTTTGTTTCTTGATCCATTTTGCCAGTCTGTATTTTGTGATTAGCAAACTGCGATCATTCACTTTGACAATTATAAGTAAGCATCGACTTATTCCTGTCGTGTATTATTTTCTTGCTGCTGATTCACTGACTTTCACCTTACTTGTGTGCCTTATCTGCTACATTCATTCCATTGGAACTTTTGAGATTGGGAACTTAATCGTGTCTTTCTAGTATCTCCTTGAGAATACTCTGGAATGCTGACTTGGTGGTCAGCAGTTTCTTTAGATGCTCTTTATCATGAAAATATCTTATTTCTCCATCATTTTGAAAGATAATTTTGCAAACTAGGCCAGTCTGTGTTGGAAGATTTTGTTTTTGTTTTGTAGATATAGAATCACTTCACTACAGACCTTCTTTGCCTTTGAGATTAGTCTTGAGCCTGCTGTGATTTGAAAGGTTTCTCCTTCATAAGTAATTTGTTCCCTTTCTCTAACAGCTTTTAATATTACGTTCTTGTGTTGTATTTCTGATATTTTGACTGTGTGTCATACAGAGGTGATTTTCTGATTTTGGCTATTTCGAATTCTATATGCTTCACTTATCTTTTTATTAAGTTGTTTCTCCATGTTGGAAAGTTTTCTGCTA